ATATATATAAAAGTTTGAACTTTCCACTTATTCACCAATAGCGTAGTAATCAACGTCCACATATGCTGAAGGAGAGATTTGATCAAACTACACCGGCCGGCACCCATTAGATCATATGACAACCGCTCAAGTTAAATCATGTCAACAGAAGAGGAGATAGCTTAACAGTTCATTGAAACACTATTGAATAGGTTCTATGATTGTAAATCGATAGTTATTTCTATCCTATCTATCTATTCATAGGCATTAAAATATCTTTAGTTGATAACTAATCTTATGGGTGCAAAGAGATTTGATTCCTGAATCTACCGTTCAAATTTGGACCTCCTCGCATCACGCAACCAAAAGCGAACAATTTTATTTAACCAAAAAGATCAATATCCCATCATATAGTTGTTGTAACACATGTAACCATAGTATTGGTAACGGAGAGAGAAATTACACAGGGTTCATAAAACGTCTATCGTGTCACAGGGTTTGACATGTAAATACACTTTTTCTCTTATTGTTGTTTTGGTGACAGTATATATTGGGATAAGAAGATCGAGATACTTGAGGTGAGAAATCAAGAAGTAGTGGGAGCACTAGGTGAGCAAAAGGAGTGAGGATAAGGTTCTGTGTAAACGCATGATCAGCTGTATACAGTATAAAGCGAAAGGAAAGAGAGAAGGAGAAATAAAGGACATTAAATTGGCAAGTTTGGTAGGCCCATGGAAGGAGAGAATTGAGTAGTCAGAGGGAAGGAAGAGTGCTATTCAATTGGATGGAGCTTTCTTGAAGGGACTTCTAAAAACAGATCGACGTCTAGGAACATCTCCTGGTCCATGATCTTGACTTTGCTCATTGCTAGAGTTTCTTGAAAGTGCTTTTCGGTTCTGCTGAAAAAAGAAAAACTCATTAATAGAACATTTTGTGCTTTACAACCGTCGCTCATGATACTCTCTGAAATGTCCAACGTAATAGCCAACTAATTTGGTTGGAGATGTTCTATTTAAACCAAATGAACCTAATGACTAATATGAACTAATGGTGTATTACAAGACTAATGAGTTAGAAAAGCCGGCAGACACGCTAAAATTACGCTCTTGAAAGTTTAACTCGCTTGACTTAGTTCATGAAACAACCAGGCACCTATTGATCATAAGCATGGATATGTCTTACCTTATCAAAATGTATGCGATCAAATGAAAGTAAATAGGTGAAGCAAAACTTTGCGACACCAGTGATGAGTAAACTCTCATTTCAGAGTCACTTCACGATTATCGCCGAGGTAGTACAAAATTTGAAGGTCCGCGAAGTAGGTGAGCCTATCTAATAGATGCATGCAGAGTTTTAGAGGTGTGTTTGCTGCATTTTCAAGAGGAAACTCATCAACAGGTTGCGAACAATTAGGATATACTCTGCATCCTATGTATCAAATAGGGTTCATGTAGCCACGAGGAGAAATACTCATAAATTGTAACAAAACTAAATATTTTTGCCATGTTTTTATTGAGTCCACTTGAGCGTCTGGATTGATTTCCACTATTTTGCTTATGGGAAGGGCAAAATAAAGTTAATTTCGCGCGATAGACGGACGCTTGTCAAACGGAGGAGAGAGAGACAGGGAGTGGAAGGGAGGGATGGAGGGAAAGAGAAAAAGGCTAATTCTGATGAAACTTGACACATTAAATCGCTACAAATCAAGCAATTCACTTTACTTATTTTGCTGAAACACAAGTAAAACATGTCATTTACTAATAAAATACCTCTTTGACTCTAACGTAAAAGGTTAAAATTAATAAATTTTTTCCGATTTTTTGAATAGATTAACAAATAATTGTTTCCTTTATACAACAAATTAGCCGAAGATAGATTATCAAATGTCTTTAAAGGTACCCACAAGGTTTTCTGGGTTTGATTTTAAAAGAATATTTTGTACGTGAATGCATTAATCATGTCCTATCCTTTTGTTTATCGACTTCCATTCTAAGCACCAGGTCATTTAGTCTTGAATGAAAAAGACTCAAACGACAGCTACTCAATTAATTTCATTTGAGGTACCTAATCCTTATCAAAATTTACATTTTCTCTACATGTGCACTATTTGTTCATGCAAGTTAACTTCATTTCTAAAACGACTCACCTTCCCATGCTTATTTGAATTTATATCCATAAAGATTAATCCACCTTGACCATCAGAATCCGGTGACTCTTTTCCCATTTCCACGTCAGTTTTTCCCCTGCCACTGCCACCACGAATTGAATCCGATTCAATTCGGGTGGGTGGCATGAGAGCGGACGTGTTTGGTACGGAGTCAGACAGGGAGGGCACAGGGACAGTCGTATGTGGAGTCTTCATATCGGGACTGTCTACCCAGTCTGAGGGATTGGCTGGGGGCACTGTGGAAGTGATCATCGAGTCCTCTTCTTCCTCCTCGTCCGAATCTTCGAGTTCATCCGCATGGGAATGACCTCGAGATAGCTGTCTTGGGAGGTCCTGTAAAGAAATGATTGATAAAATACAACAAGTAATTGATTGCTTGTTAGCCTTCTGAAACCGCTCTCACTTCTCGTGTCCTTCCAAATTTCCCTCGACTAGGCGCGACTGCAACAATATCGGCGTCATCTGATTGAAGTCTTGATCTAGTTACACTAGCTCCTCGCGATCGAGAATCTCGTTGATCTCTTGATAGTGTTGCTCGGCATCCATAGACAGGTTTTTGATGGGATTCAAAACTGGATTCTATTCCACCTCCGTTGTGGGGAGAACGTGGAAGTTCACGAAGGAAATTGGAAGGAACCAGGCCTCTACGACCAGAGGATTCCAACTGACCCACATAGAAACCGTCTTCATCCATTTCGCTGAGGATTACGATGCGATCTCCAGCACGGAACTTTAGCTCAGTCTAAGATGAACATAGATGACAAAAATTGTTCGGAAACTATGTTAATGAAGTTTAATTTCTTTAACTAATTTACAATTACTGCTATTGTAAAAGCAGAAGTTATAAGTTTTCGACATACTGAAGCACCAGAATAAGTGTAACAGCAAACAATTCCAATGAGGTGTGAAAAGGGAAAAGTGTCAAAACAGTGAGGTTATTGGAATCAGTACATCATAAATATAACGATATTAGAAATAAGAAGTATTGCGTTATAAAATAGATCTCCTAGAAAAGAAAAAATCTTAATTGATTAAAAGCATATCTACTTGATTTGATATGGTTAACGAGAAATTTTCATTTATTTTTGGTAGAAAAACTTCAGAAAAACAATTAATAGTATTCTGTCTATTTTACTATGCGGGTAGTCTAATGATTGTGTGCTATTTCGTTAAAAGCATTACTATTAGTGATAACGTTTCAAACACTAATAACCCGATAATTGTTTGATTCCAATCTCCAGACCACTTTTGCTTTCCAATCCTGAACAAACATCTCTCAAGCTACGAATTTCAACTGACTAACTGATTCAAAGAAGGCGGATCGCGTCCTTAATAAACTGCATATAAGCCGATTATCAAAACCACTACTCCAAATTATATTTTTATTATTACTAACCCTCTCCCCCTTCCCTTCTTAATAGTTTAACGCCAAGAACATCAATTTAATTATGGTTCGATGGGAGAATCGCGATGCTGTTTAGAGCTCAGACCCAATAAAATAGAAAGAAATTAAAGCGAAAATCTTCTTTTTTTAACTCCTACAATTCACTCTTAAAAACATTTGAGTGACTATAATTAATAAATACGAGTAGAGGAGAAATAAGAAGGTGATTTTATGCTTAAAATAGAATGAAGGGTAAGCAGTGACAGGTGATCAACCGTAACCTTTCTCATTAATGGCGTAGATAAAATTGTGATAAAGCATACTACTACTGGGACATTGAACCAAGACGCTTGTCAATTTTCGAAGCTTGGGATGACAATCCTTAACCTCCATGTGCACGAAGCGCATTGGGGTAGACTATCGATAATCAATTTCATTCAGCTGCCTTACCTCAGATACTCACTGACACTTGGTTACGCACACTTGATTGTCACACACACTTGCCCCCTCCCCCCTTTCACACATTTTACTCTCACTTCTGTCATTTCTTCCCCTTCAAATTTCAATTTCTGCTATACAATATAATTTTGATTTACTTCACCTTTTGACATTCTTATCGCAACACCATATTTGTCTGTTGTTATTCTTAGAAGTAACTTTGACAAAATTGGGGACCTTGGTGCCTCAAATTACATCACTAGTATTTGCGTGAGTAGTATATTTAGAGCCAATAGTTAAACAAATTAAACCCGCACCTCAACATCGACATTGGGGCTGTAAATATGTGGGTCGTAATCATAGAGGGCCTCCATTATACACTGTCCTGACCTCTGATTCTCCCCGCCTTTCCTTCTGCTCATTTCTGAAGTACCTCCAGGCGTTCTTGGATGGTCGGCATCTCCCCGACCGGTACGGTTGCGCCGAGTTTTTCCGCGATTTGTTTGACTCGCACGACCTGCGTGATCCCTATGTTGCTGGTGATAACTTTGGTCCACCTGGAGGGAAAATAGAACTGGAGTGCTTGATATTTCTTTCGATCAAAACGGTCTTTCCGTATAAACTTGAAAATATCATTCATTTATGTACAGAAGAATATCTAGCAACTAATTGAGTTCTCATAAATAGCTAGGCAAATCAGTCAATTTATCAAGCAAGGACGTGCATCTAAAATGATTGGGGATCGTCAATTATGTCAAGGCTTCTTCCGTAATAACCCCGTGTTTCCGGAAGGTGCAATATTAACTTAAAAGACCCTCCTCAACTCCATAAGTACCTTCTTACATAAATGTAATGTTTCGTAGTCATCCTTTCACACCAATGAGCTTTCTAATTTTAAATAAATAACATACCTTAACCAGTAGTCTTTCTTGGCATGAGATCAAAGGCGGGGCGTTAGAAAAAATAGTTAAAGACCAAAACTAGGTGCATTGCAGTTTGTTCTTCCTTCTCATGATTAGCGTTGACATAAGACATTAATCTCCTGAACAATTAAATTTAAAGATTTATAAATTTTTGGGAAATTTGAAATTGTGACCGACTCTCTCGCTCTTTCTCCAACTAATTAGAAAGAAATCTGGAGGCATTTTTTCCACAGTAGCCAAAATTTCTTGTTTACAAATAAGAACTTTGTTGATGTTTCAAGTAATAAATATCCTTTCGACAGAGACAAAATATTTGAATTTCTCCCCAATATAAATGTAATTCTATTCAATTCCGAATTAAGAGTGCGAGAACATAGGAACATAAACAAAGAACTATTGATTCTAATAACCTGTCCGTGCTGTTGATCATGCAATTGAACGGAAGTTCTGTGTGGTTTCGTCATTTGACCCGGTGGAAGACTGGGGCCTGAGTTAAGGTTAGAAGAAGCAGAAGGGTTCATGCGCTCAGTGCGGCCCCCACTACCTGCACTGCCACCTCGACGTCGAAGGTATTCAGTAACCTCTTCGGCACTGGCTTCACAGACCATATTGGAGGGCACAAGACCCTTGCGTCCATTGCATTCACCAAAGTAGAAGCCGTCTTCATCACAATCTCCATACACCTATAAGGTAGAAACATAGTTGGTCACTTACAATTTTTCACTTCTAGAGCTTGAAATAACTTAATGGCCTGCTTTTATAAAATGGTCCATATTTTAGTCAGAACTTCTATTTCATCTAGGGTTTTTACAGTAAAGACTAGCATTCATAGATCCTAAAATTTCCAATGCCTATCATTCCAGGTCTTTAACTTACCAGATCAATTTTGTACACACAATCGGAAGGCTGTAGATAACCTTAAGGTGTTTATTTAGGTAAAGTTCAAAAAGAGTCACGCTCTGGAGTTCATAAACCCAGTGAAGATTTCAGAACATACTCCTTGTTCTAGATGTCTTTTGGGATACAAAAGTTCTCCCATTCCTACTCTAGCACGCCGTTCTGTATATAATTTGAATCTTTCTTGTATTTTGGCATGAAAACGCATTGTCAATATTTTCAAATGATGACCATTTTAATGTTAGGTTATTAGATGAACAAAATAGTCAATAACTCCTAATACCCCTTTAGTAGAAGCCTGTAAAACAATCAGAGATTCGAACTGGTTATGACTGGCGCTTATTTCCTTTCAGATCAGATCTTGCTCTTCTCATTCAATGAAAGGTTCTGAGCATACTGCTAGTTCTATGCAATAATAATCAATTTTGCGGGAGAGTATCTTTTAGTCCAATTTGGGGGCCTTCTTAAGTGCCTTGACGGTTGGTATTTGGCCATCCAAAATGCTGACAGATTTTGCTCATTATGTGGCTTTTAGTTACTATACG